ACCTCTTGAGATGTACACTTGGTAAGCATAATCAATGAGTACCATACCAGATATTCAGATGGACCTGTGTGCACATAATAGATCCCTGACTCTAGATCTTATTTTCATACTTACCATAAAAACTAATCAGTGATACGGAAGGGGAAGGGGAAGGGGAAGAGGAACAAAAAAGCCCCGCCCTAATATGGCCTGATATAGCCAGCTTTGACTTTTCCGACCACGTGCTCTTAACTCCACCCAGAAAAAAAAGACGACGCAAATCTACATCGATATATCATTCAGTAGTACATTCAAGAAGACGAGTGACGGATACAGTAGATAGATTCGTATGTATGCACGAATGTAGAATGACAAGAAAGTTCGCCACGCTCGAATTTCGGAACTTTTTCAGATCTTTCCACTGTAAGTTCCACATGAAAATTGAAGAAACTGTATATGTACCGAGCGTTCCTGGTGCCCAAGCGTACTTGGCTCGACTTGGTTTCCGAATCCCGGGACGGAGCGGGTCCAGCAGCCTGTGCTACTGAACTAGGCTTAGACAAGCCTTCGGGCGCTCAAAGTACATATGTATCAGATCTGGTAAGGAAATGGAAAAGTCCACCAAAGCCCGATCGAGTGATTTATATTCAGTTATGTGTATCATAGAGTATGGACATACATACACGTGCATACACCCTCGAGTTTGAGACGGCGGCCTTGTACGGAAAGGGATGGGAAATTCCTTTTTTTTTGGTTCAGTCTCGTTGGCAGGACATGGGAGGTTCGAGTGTATGATATCTCTCATACGTGAGTGGTTTAATTATCATAATATCTTTTTACCTCTGAGACGACGGTCTTGTGCGGAGACAGATGGGAAATCATTTCTTTGGTCCAATTCATGCAACCGACAAGCACGAAGCTTTCCGTAGACAGACAGACAGCTGCATATAGATAGAACTTTTAGAAGCAATTCTTAGTGTCCAGCTGAGATCCGACAATTGCTCTGCGGTCGAACGCGGAGAAAGGTGCGAAACAAAACCTGCATGTAGGCGCGCAGAAAGATCGGTTGATTGACCGTCACAAGTTCAATTGAAAGTACTAGCCAAGTAACCGGTCAATAAAAATTTTATCAAGGTACAAGCGCCTGCTCCTGCCAAGTACCCTGCGCAGATCGAGTGAATTTCGTACGCCTATTCGGTATCACCCCAAGCTCTACATAATCAATTTCAGTCGGATCGACAACTAACAATGCGAAATTTCTCAAAGCCTTCTCCCAATTCTTCCTATTCTCTTTAGCCTCGTCGGAATCGTCGGCTCCCTCCGAATCCTTTGGCTCGTCCACTCTCTCTGGCCACTTTTTCGCTTCTTCCTCGCCACCGGCAAGTGGAGAGCCAGGGGTAGGCCGGCACCAGCTGGCTTTCATATGCGCACTCATCGTTTTGAAAACTTGTTCTCGTTTGGCTTCCCAGTCGAAGTTTTCTCGGCTGAGAGCTGCCATGCCTCCGCCACCTACAATTGGTGAAGAGCTTATCAAAGAGGAAGACACAGAGGACGGCGGGGTGATCGTGGAATGGAGGAAATGTTTATGCAGGTGGTCCAGAGGCGATGGTATGATACTCGCTATACCAGAAACACGAAATTGTTCTTGAGTTCCCTCAATCCACCAAGCGATATGAACGTGAGGATTGGCTATGATCTGAGCGGTTTTTGGACTGCGGACGTCGGTGGTAGACACGATAAGGGGGAGTTCGGGGCTTGAGCTGGGGTTGAGAAACGAACGGAATATGAGGGATCGTACGGTGGGTATGGGTGAGTTGGTATCTATTGAAGCCAGCTGCATCACTACGTAAAAGAATTGTCAGTATAGTTTGAAGATAGAAAAGTTAACGTACTTGTGCCAAACGTACCGACAGATTTTTCGTACTGCGCCAATGCATTGTTGATCGCAGTCTGCCAGCGGGGAGCAGTGCCTGCCATTATTGATATATGGTGCGGTGAAGTTAAGCGAGCGGTGGTGAGTTTGAGCCTGGCCGATGCCGTGGTGGTGGTGGTGGTAGACGTAAAGGATGAAGTGTGCGATAAGCCCCTTGTTGAACTTCGAGACGTCATAATGATCGTGGGAACTCCATCCTCAATTGACCAACTTTGAAGTCCGCTAACATTTGGTTACCGGAAATCACCGCTATCTACGCCTGCAGTTCCTGACACAGTGGGAGCTTGGCAGCAATGTTTCCGATAAGATCGCGATTTAAAGGTGTTAGATTCGTGGAAATGAGCTCAAAATATATCTGACAGAATAATAGAGCCGGACACGCTCGGCGTAGTGACGACCTTCTACTGGCTGGTTGAGTTTAGTTTGCTGATTCAACACGGCGAGAGAAGCGGCTTGTGTACAGATAAAAGGTGAGCGACTTCACTGAACCAAAGCCAAGAGACTCGACATGTCCGCTTTCAAAGCTGCCTCAGCCCCCCCAACCAAACTTGGACTCTACAGAGTCCTTGCTCCTCGTGCTGGTATCCGTGTCAGCCCCCTCCAGCTGGGTGCGATGAGCATAGGTGACCAGTGGAACGATGTTCGTTGCTCTTTGTTATTTCTTCAAACCTGACCAGCTTACTTTGACACCGTGCAGTTCATGGGATCGATGGATAAGGAATCGAGCTTCAAGCTGCTTGACGCGTACTTTGACAGAGGAGGTAATTTTATAGGTACGCGGACTCGGCTCGACATCGTCTCTGTTCATTCTTTTCAACGCGATTTCTTATCGTAGATACATCTAACAACTAGTAAGAGAGTGTTCCCCGAATCGCTCTCGGACCAAACTTCCTCATGACCATGTTTTCCATCTTCCAGCCAAAACGGGTCCTCGGAGCAATTCATCGGAGAATGGATGGAGGAACGCCAGAATCGTGACCAGTTGGTCATTGCTACCAAGGTAATGACGGCCTCTCAATTTCTCTGATGATGCTGACGACTACACACGAATCACTTATAGTACACGACCAACTACCAACTCGGCAACCAAAGCCTCAAGCAGAAGGTCAACTACTCCGGCAACAATGCCAAGTCTCTGCATATAAGCGTCGAAGCCAGTTTAAAGAAACTGCGCACGAGCTACATTGACATTTTGTACTTGCATTGGTGGGACTTTGACACTTCCGTCGAGGAGGTCATGGATAGTCTGCACAACATTGTCGCGTCGGGCAAAGTCATTTATTTGGTATGTATTTTCTGGGGTCTACTATTGCTTCAAGGTTGCAGAACGTTTTTTTTTTTTTCACATACATAGGGTGTCTCTGATACTCCAGCCTGGGTCGTCTCTCAAGCCAACCAGTACGCCAAGGACCACGGAAAGACACCATTTGTGATCTATCAAGGGAAATGGAATGTCATGGAACGAGACTTTGAGCGTGATATTATTCCGATGGCTCGTTCCCTAGGTTAGTCTGTTCTTTGTCTTATAACACTGAATTATAACCGTCACGAAAACTCTGCAGGTCTAGCTATAGCTCCATGGAGTGTGCTCGCAGGCGGTAAGCTTCGTACAGACGCTGAAGAACAGCGAAGGAAGGAGAGTGGCGAGAAGGGACGTATGATGTATGGCCCTGAATGGGAGAGAACCGAGAACGAAGTCAAGATGTCTCGTGCCCTCGAGAAAATCGCCAACGAAGTGGGTGCAAAGAGTATCACCGCTGGTAAGATTATCCTCAAATTCTTGTACCCGATCGTTTTTCATGCTCTTCTAGTTGCAATCGCCTATGTGATGCAAAAAACTCCCTACGTCTTCCCTCTCATCGGCGGTCGTAAAGTCGAAAACCTTGTCGCCAATCTCGAAGCATTGGATATCTCGCTGAGCGATGAACAGATCAAGGAACTCGAGAGTGCCCTACCGTTTGATGTTGGTTTCCCCACGAATATGATTGTACGTACCGAATCCAAGCGATCTGTATGTCCGAGTTGACAACTAAATGCGTAAATGCGCTTTAGGGTGACGGAACAGAACCCGGCTTCTTGATGAAAGCTTCTGCCCAGTACCAGAAGATTCCTTACCAGAGGGCTCTTCGTCCTCCCCAATGATCATGAACGTGTGGAAGGATCGGAAAAGGTCACGATTTTTAATCAGCAAAATGACAAATACGTTGTGTATCTTGTACCACTGTAGATTCAAAGCAATTTGTGATATGCCCTGGAAATACTGAATTGGAGGTCCAAACTCAACATAAGTTTCGCCGTCGTTTCTCTACGATGACCTCTCCACCACTCAACGAAATGGCGAATTAAACAAGTTTAAAAGCGGGGAACCAAAGATATTGATGGCTACCAATGCCATCAGCTGCCAATGTTCATTCCAATTCGCCGTCTTTCGCTCCCGATGTCGCTTTGCGGTGGGCTCCCTCGAAAAGACGTTGGCCAAATGGAAAACATCGAAGGAGGCTATTCTAGCTATGCTGGAGACCGTCAGAGGGACAGGGCGTTTAGCTGCGAATGAGCTCAAAGAAGATCGCAGAAAAGGGGTGGTAATGGCCAGGGGAAGGCTAAGAGGAAATACGAATATGATGCTGCGTACGAAGGTATTGAAGCGGTTGCGTGCAAAGATTCAAGAAACGCAAATGATAGGGGTAGCATTGAACTTTTGTTTGATCTGTGTACTTTTGTTTCGACGGAACTCTGTGATTCGACTATAAGGGTCTTGCGGAGTTTGTGAGTCCATGGAAAGCAAGCTTTTTCAGTGCTCTAGCACATACGGACGTTGATGTCCAGACAAGACTCTCTAAGGGCACAAGCCTGCACCCACTACCGTAAGAACGGATCTTGGACCCAAAGCAGCAGAGTCAAATCAGCCCTTGACCAGCTTAGGCTGGAAATCGGATGAGGGTCCGAGGGACAGAACGACTGAGGAAGAAAAAGGATGATTTCGAAGGGGCGGAGAATCGAAGACAAGAAAACGTTCTAACGTTATGGAAATTACTCGTATATGGCAGAGCCAGTAGAAATGCAAAAAGGTACACTTTGCGGATGGAAATACACCGTTCGGGAATCGAACCCGAGCCGCTTGCTGTTAGAATTTAAAATGGAAGGCAAGCATGATAACCACTTCACCAACGGTGTTCAGATATTTTTACGATGCCTCGATTAACATATAGCATATACTTCAAGAGCGTAGAAAGCAATCAAAGTAATGAAGAACGCTATGGACCCGGGGTATATTGTGTATGAAAGAATGTGTCGTACGAACGCTAGACTTTTCTACTTAGTCAATTGATTTACTCTTAAGTGAAGCGCCTCCAGCTTCTGGGTTCTTCTGTGGATTTTCATATCTAATCACATTTGCAAGACAGTCTGAGCATCTGAGGGCAATCTGAGGGTGCAAAAGTCTTCATTGGATTCCAAGCTAATTAAACCGTAAATGGAAACTAGGCGCTTGCTCAAACGCTCAGAAATTTCCCATGATTTCTTGCTTTGTCATGCTTTGCTTCGCCTCACTTGCTGCTGGATGGGATTTCGGCGACGGCTCATCTTAACCTCATTTTCCGAATGCCTCGCTTGTGATTATAGAGTGTATTAGGATATATTAGGGAGCAAATTGCCTGAGTCATTCGGAGCTTTTTTTTTAGCAACACCAAGTTTTGGTAATCGAGCACAGTACTCCTCCGAGTCCGTTCCGTCTCCATGATTTTTTACCTGCACGGCGGCGAATGAGATTATCCTACGCGACACCTCGCTGATAAAACCTGGCGACAGAATCGGGCGCTGTACAGGTATAAAATGGTGAGCGATTCTCGTCTGATTACAGCCAACAGTTTTCTCCTACTTTCTCTCCAGCCTTTTATCCACAGAACAAAAACTACATGTCTGCCTTTAAACCTGCTCCAGCCCCCCCAACCAAGCTCGGGCTCTACAGAGTCCTCTCTTCTCGTGCTGGTATTCGTGTCAGTCCCCTCCAACTGGGTGCGATGAGCATTGGTGACCAGTGGAACGATGTTCGTTGTTCTTGTTATTTCATCTGACTTGGCCAACTTACAGTTTTACTATGTAGTTCATGGGATCGATGGATAAGGAATCGAGTTTCAAGCTCCTCGACGCTTACTTCGATATGGGAGGGAACTTCATAGGTACGCAAAATTGGATCGAAAGGATGCCTAACCGTAGTTATGATTGTAATTCTGAATGCCACAGATACGGCCAACAACTAGTGAGAACGCATGCCCATGTTGCCTTTGCCTGTTATTCTCACATTCATCTCGTTCAGTCAAAATGAAACTTCAGAGGAATTTATCGGAGAATGGATGGAAAAACGCCAGATTCGTGATCAGCTGGTTATCGCTACCAAGGTACGTACGCCCGGAAAACATGGGCGGCTCTTCAGCAGCGAGCGGTTTCACTGAAAATTATACAATGATCGTTCACAGTACACGACCAACTACAAACTTGGAGACAAGAACATCACCCAGAAAGTCAATTACACCGGTAACAACGCCAAGTCGCTGCACATGAGCGTTGAAGCCAGCTTGAAAAAACTGCGCACAAGTTACATTGACATTCTGTACGTGCATTGGTGGGACTTTGATACCTCAGTCGAGGAGGTCATGGATAGTTTGCACAACATTGTTGTCTCTGGCAAAGTTATATATTTGGTAAGTGTTCTAAATTAGTTGTGTATCATGTTCCGCCGAGTATCTGACCGTTTCTGACTGCAACGCAAACAGGGCATATCCGATGCTCCAGCTTGGATAGTCTCACAAGCCAATCAATACGCAAAAGACCACGGAAAGACGCCTTTTGTCATATACCAAGGCAAATGGAGCGTTATGGAGCGAGATTTTGAACGAGACATCATTCCTATGGCTCGTGCCCAAGGTCTGTACACTGCTGCTTTTCCCTAGGTTTCGAACTGGATTGAATTAAACTTGCTATTTTCCAGGCCTAGCTCTAGCCCCGTGGAGAGTTCTTGGAGGTGGCAGATTGCGTACAGATGCCGAGGAACAACGGAGGAAGGAGACTGGCGAGAAGGGGCGTATGATGTATGGGCCTGAGTGGGAGAGAAACGAGACTGAGATCAAAGTCTCTCGTGCTCTCGAAAAAGTCGCCAAGGAAGTTGGGGCAAAGAGTATCGGCGCAGGTCAGGGAGCAAAATATTTGAGCGTTCGTAATTTCTGACACTGTTTTCATCCTTCAGTCGCCATCGCCTACGTGATGCAGAAAACTCCATACGTCTTCCCTATCATTGGTGGTCGCAAGGTTGAACACCTCGTTTCTAATCTTGAAGCTCTGGATATCTCTTTGAGCGAGGAGCAGATCAAAGAGCTTGAAAGTGTCGTTCCGTTTGATATCGGCTTCCCCACGACTATGATTGTAAGTAGTGAATCCAATCGCCGCTTCCTCCGAGTCAGCTAACGATTGGATTGCGATGTAGGGAGATGGTACGGAACCTAACTTTTTGTTGAAAGCTTCAGCGCAGTACCAGAAGATACCTTATCCTCGGGCTCTCCGGCCTCAATGAGCATCCAAGCCAAGCAGAAAAGAGAGTCTATCGATTAGATGAGTGATACGTACATATTGGTGCTACAGCAGAATCGAATGAATTTGAATTTGAAACACCCTATTTGAGTAATTTTCTAGTTATTTGACTCCTCGGTACCTTCCAAGTACATCACAATGCCAGAGACTCTCTCTTTGCTTGCGAGATACCCTCCGCAATATAGACCAGCGAAATGGCCAGTATCAGCTGATTTGTTTTGCAGACAAAAAATGCATGTACAGGATCCTCCGAGTCTCCAAAAAGGGCATGCTAGTCTGTGTTCGTCTGTTTTCCCTTTCGACTGGTAGCTCGTTCCGCCTCCACCTAAGTTTTTCCACGGCTAGCTCATAATACCCCATCATCATATGAATTAGAGCTGTACAGTGATCTAATGTTAGGAACCATTGGTAATGTCTGAAGATCTGAATGCCAATGCTTCGAAAACTTGGCAGTTCTTTGCTTCATTGTCTTCTTTCTGATTCTCAATGGATTCTGATGCTCTCAGATTAGTTAACAGGCATTTCTGAATACCCTTGTTCATGAATCCATTCCATCAAGTCATCCATGTGCTTCACAGACAACAGAAATCTCCAGTGGAACAAAACAGTAACAGTCCCCTTGATTTTGATTTTCAGTGTGAATACAAACTATGAAAGCATGGCCTATCAATCCTTTGGTCCCTTAGAATTCAAGGCTAGAGGTGCCAGAAAAGATACCACAGGGATAACTGGCTTGTGGCAACCAAGTGTTCATAGTGACGTTGCTTTTTGATCCTTCGATGTTGGCTCTTCCTATCATACTGAAGCAGAATTCAGTAAATGTTGGATTGTTCACCTGCTGATAGGGAACATGAGCTGGGTTTAGACTGTCATGAGACAGGTTAGTTTTACCCTACTGATGCAGTTCTTTCGAAGTCATGTCAATCTTTTCAAGCACCGATTCCGCAACTGATCACATTCTACCAACTGAATTGTGAGTTCTTCTGGAAACAAACTCATTGTATCAGTGTCTTGACTATATGCAGCTGTATGCAGAGGCGCTTCTTATATGATTTCTATATATTGTAATTCTCCACATGACAACAGCTAGGACTGAATCTGCACAGATATTAAAAGCTCAGCGGCTTCTCATATCCAGGCCCAACTTTCTCTCTTCCTCCTTCCATTACTGAACCAATACCAAGGAATCTGAAATGGCCTTCCAACCTGCCCCAGCCCCCCTGAACAAGCTCGGGCTCTACAGGGTTCTTTGTCCTCGCGCAGGAATTCGTGTTAGTCCTATCCAATTGGGAGCGGTGAACATCGGTGACCAGTGGAGTGAGGTTTGATATGCTAGATCCTTCGCAGTGCCTCGATGTTTACATTATACACCATATAGTTTATGGGCTTGATGGATAAAGAATCGAGTTTCAAGTTGCTCGATGCATACTTTGACATGGGAGGTAACTTCATCGGTATGTGAACCTCACTGAAATGATTTGTCTTTGTGCTTCTGAGGTCCTCTCAGATACCGCAAACCACTAGTAAGAGCGCGTGCTAAAGTCGCCTTTTGACTGACTTTTCTCACAAGCTGTTTCAAGTCAAAACGAAACTTCAGAGGAATTCATCGGAGAATGGATGGAAAGGCGTCAGATTCGTGATCAGTTGGTAGTCGCCACCAAAGTCAGCACGGCTTTGGATCATGCGCGGTCCTTAAACGAGTGGCCTTGTTGACAATGATGTTTTTCTTGCCCATAGTACACGTCCAACTACAAACTTGAAGACCCAAACATCAAGCAGAAGGTTAACTACTGTGGAAACAACGCCAAGACCTTGCACATGAGCGTTGAAGCCAGTTTAAGGAAATTGCGCACGACTTACATTGACATTTTGTATGTGCATTGGTGGGACTTTGACACTTCGGTCGAGGAGGTCATGGATAGTCTGCACAACGTTGTCGCGGCGGGCAAAGTCATCTATCTGGTATGTGCTCCTGACGGTGATGTTTGGGATCTGACTTTTCGCTTTACTCTACTCAGGGCGTCTCTGACACTCCAGCCTGGATTGTCTCACAAGCCAACCAGTATGCGAAGGACCACGGAAAGACGCCTTTTATCATTTATCAAGGCAAATGGAATGTTATGGAACGAGATTTCGAGCGCGATATTATTCCTATGGCTCGGTCCTTAGGCCAGTGCATAACTCTCATCCCATAATTTCTGACTCAGCCACAGCGATCATTTAAATTTCGCAGACCTTGCTCTAGCACCCTGGAGTGTACTCGGAGGTGGTAAATTTCGTACAGATGCCGAGGAACAGCGCAGGAGGGAGACCGGCGAGAGGGGACGTACACCGCGGGATCCTCAGTGGGAGAGAAACGAGACTGAGATCAAGGTCCCTCGCGCTCTTGAAAAAGTCGCCAAGGAAGTTGGGGCAAAGGGTATCGGCGCAGGTCAGTGAACAAAAGGTTCCAGCTTCCGTACCTTCTGATATTTTTCTCATACTCTAGTTGCCATCGCCTACGTGATGCAGAAAACTCCATACGTCTTCCCTATCGTCGGCGGTCGCAAGGTTGAACACCTCGTTTCTAATCTTGAAGCTTTGGATATCTC